AAAAAAAGCATAACCAAAGGAGAGCCGCCAGGGGTCCCTGATTAAAAAAAGAACATTCAACTCACAAGACAGTCAAAACTCCCCCGTTTTTCTTTTCTTCCATCCATAACAGTCTCCTTCCAGTCCGTTTATTTTAATAGAACTGCTGAGTCTTCAATTAAAGAAGGCAACACAGAAATTGCCTCCAAATTACAAACTCATCAAAGAGTGCATAAATTACCTTTCATTAGTAGCAGCTGTTCATTCAGAATAGTCTACTACTCTTACAGAAGCATACTATGCCTGTATTAAAAAAAAATTTACACGCCCTAAACAGGTAAATGCAGATTTTGACTGAGTTTAGATGCAAACGACCGCTCCTTTGACTTTGTCCCGTCTTCACATGAAAGTGACACGGAGGGAGAAACGCTTTTGATCTGATGAATATATCCCTGAAGTAAATTCAATGAAAGATCCAATACAGTGATATCTCTGCTCCGATTTTTCATCCTTGTGATGAACAGCGTCATCGCGATATTATTTGATAATATTTGAGAACGAAGAAAGTACGAAGAACTAAACCTTGCAGTTAGATATCTAAAGACGTATTTATATAGCCTACAGTATAGTTCTATGAAACGTCGCCTTAAACGCGGCTGCATGTTAAATCTTAATTGCGCGTTAAGCGAGACAATACTTTTGAAATGAATGGGAAATAAACGTTTAAACCATATTTTAAAATCAATTATGTAGGCTATATAGAAATCGGCACTTAATAGTTAAACGGTACATGCCTTAATTCTGATATATCAGTTGATTATTCAGTTAACTTAAATATTTTAAGGTTACTCCCGATTCACACAAAATCCTTTCAGAACTAAAAACCTAAGGACCAAGACAAAAATACCTAAGTGCAAAATCCCAAAGAACGTCCACAAACGTATACGCTTCATAACGTAAAGTTCGAGGCTAAGTGGAAACAATGATGCTTTACAAATTGCCCTCACTAGAGGGCTTTAAAGCATTTATGATTCCAGACAGACTCTTCAACTGTTTAGTAGATCATTGAATAAGGCTGTAATGCTCTATAAATGCACTATATCCGCGATACAGGACCCGAGTTGGTTTAAAGCTTTGGTAAGCCCTTGGCAAATATTTTTGTGACCCCTCCTCCCACCCCCCTCCTTCCAACACTTTCTCAAAAGCCTAACAACATGATCACCTTAGTCTCCTAGCTGTCCCATTTAATCAGTTTGCTGTCTTTTTCACAGATAAGATCAGTGTTGATATTGCCAGTGTTGAAAGTTCATAGTAATTGTTTGAATAATCACTAATAAAATGGCATTATATTCATCTTCTTTGAAGAACCACGTGTTTCTGTTTTCTGTTAGCTGAGTGAACATGTGTATATATGTACTAATGTAAGTAGTATGATCACATGTATGCACATACTACTACAGTGTTGTGTTACATCATGCATATACTAACTGGTTTGTTGTGCACCATCAGGTTCTGTTGTATTATTCTTTTTAACTATACAATTCATAGACACATAGTAGAGCTATTATTACTGAACATTAGACACATGCTTGAGTTTTAGCATGGTGCAGCTCTACATAATACACATATCTTTGTTGTAACACAGAATCTTTTATAATAAGACACAATGTATCAGTCACAGAAAGAATGCTAAATATAAAGTTTGGTGACGTTCTATTGCATAGAGCACTACAAAATATTTACCTGATAATAGGATATTAATAGTTTTTATCTAAAGTGATTGTGTTCATTATGAGACTTGTGCTTTTTTATCATTCTTTTTGATGTGCATTTTTCTAACGGCAATGTCATGCAGTTATGTACATTATCCTTGTTTTTTCATTTAATTTGAATTAATCACTCCTGTTCTCATTCGGAAGTGTGTATATATTAGGTGTTTCATTTCTTCCACATCCATTTGTAAGAGGTGACAGCTTTGTGATGTTAAACAGAAGCCCTGCATAATGGTCTATACTTGGTTGGTTTGATTGACGGTGCTTTTTCTTCACCTTTAGGGACAAGGACCTGTGACTTCATGATTTTGGAGTATCCCCAGTAGCATCTCCATTCATCAGTAATAAAACTATGATTTACAAGCAGATGCCAGTGTGGTTGGGCAGTCATAGCTCTGGGTACCACTTAGGAGTGCAAGCACTAATAAAAAGTAATTGCCATATTAGATTATTAGCATCATCGCTAAAAGAAATATTGTTCATAATATTGTTCATCAAGTGTTTATATGCATATACCTCTATTTCTTTTTCTCGCATCAGTTTTCTCATTTTTTGATTGAATTTAGTATTTTTTAAATAGTGGTTCCATTTTTTTTCTCTGCTGCTATTAAGTTAAATTTGTCTCATTCAGTCAGTTGGTTAAAAAACTCCATTTATAAGTAGAATTTTCCTTCTATAGTACTGATTTTTTTCTTAAGTATTCAGAGCTTTGACAGAAGTAAAAATTTGATAACATTATTAGCATTGCATGTATGTTGCAGATTGCCATTTAAAAGCCTGGAACATTCATATTCATTAATTTACTTATTTTCGTATACTTTGAAATATAAAGTTTTTTATTCTATTTTGGCAAGTGTGACTTATTTCAGACTCATGTACAATTACTGTCATTACTATTACTGCAATTTTAGTTGATAAATTTGTATTATTGGTGATACGAGGCCACAGGAAACCCTGATTGTATTTGCATTGTCTGCTTGTCCTTTCAAAAATCTTTATACATAAATTAATTGGTTTGGAGTCTATAATAGCAATGAAATTTAATGGATTTTTTAATGAAATGAACTGAAACACTATCAGCAATTTAGAGTTCTGTATGTTTAAAAAAAGCAGTATGCAACAGGTACACAGTCAACCACCATTTTCTGCACATGAATTATACAAAAGAGCAATATATTTTTTCTTCACCATCTTGAAAGGTTTGAAAGGCTTGTCATACAAATGTTGTTCTGTTAGTCATGCAGCCACAAAGCTTCCTAACAATTTACTAAACCAGTTATGAAATACCACTGCTGTTACTTACACAGTGTCAAGCCAATGTATACATGTTCGTGTTTTTGGATTCAATGTAAGCTACATTAAGTGACTATATAAGAATATAATATGTATATGGCTTAACCAAGCAGCTAAATCTATATTCATTCCTTAAAATACAGAGGAAATGTTAATATTTAAACCACCAGGTCAAAACACTTTCTCTGATTTATGGTAGCTCTGACATCTTTTTTGATTTCTAGTAATGTTTTTCAGATATGATTGCAAACACATGTATGTCTTAATGCGAGGTGATGTGTCATCTTAATTGGAAAGCCATTAATGTTGTATTTATGTTGTTCTGTTTACTTTTCTGTATTAAACATCCTTTTGACCTTTCACTGCCCTGTCCAGTATCACTGCCTAATTAGCTTTTATTGTCAATGAACGCAGCTTTGCTTTTCATACCAGCGCTAGCTTTTGGTGAGTTGTGTGTGTGTGTGTATATATATATATATATTAATATTACATTGTGAGGACTAAATGTCCCCACAATGCGAAAAAAAACATGTTATTTTCACATTGTGGGGACCACCTTTTCGGTCTATAGGGACCACCTTTTGGTCTGTAAAAATCCGTAATTGCAATCAAAAACTTAAACATGTCAAAAGTCATATTTTGTTTTTTGTTTGGTTACTTATGATTAAAGTTAGAGCTGGGCAGGGGTTAAGGTTGTCGGTAACGCTTTACATTAAGTGCACCTTTATAATGCATTCATAATGCATTAATACAACATTCAGTGTACCTTTATAATGCATTCATTATGCATTCATAGAACATTCAGTGTACCTTCATAATGCATTCAAAGAACATTCATAAGCAGCATGCAAGTATACCATAACATCCTAACATCCCTTAACAGCTTTAATATACATTAATAACAAACATTACATGATTATACAATTATAATGTTTGTTATTATTATATAATGTTTGTTATTAATGTATTACAGCTGTTAAGGGGTGTTAGGATGTTATGGTATACATGCATACTGTTTATGAATGTTTTATGAATACTTTATGAATACATTATGAAGGTGTACTGAACGTTTTATGAATGCAATATAAAAGCATTATAAAGGTGCAGTTAATGTAAAGCGTTACCAAGTTGTTGGGATTAGGGTTTTCCCATAGAAATGAAAGGTAAAGATATGAATACAAACTTACCCAAAACCAGGACTGTGGAAACCTTAGTGAAAAAGATCTGGGAAATCATCAGTATTCATTTCTTCATAAATATTACTCTAAATATACTTTTTGGCTAAAGTACTTGTAATATTATTAACTTTGCAGTTGAATTTTTACCATCCTGCATTTTAAAATCAGTATATAGTGGAATATTGATATTTTGTAGAAGCTTAATTTTTGACCCAGTGGGATCAGATACAGCTTTTATTGCAAGAGTCATATTTTAACATTTTAAATAGTCTATGTATCCATCCATAACTGCTTATCTACTACTATTTATCTAGTACAAGAGCAATGATTATTTAATGCTGATGTTATTCAGTAATATTATTTCTTAATATATGTTATGCAATGATGAAAGGGACTCTGCCCAGGATAAGTGGTTATAGGATGGATGGATGGATAGTTATATATTTTCCTTGAATTGTTAGCCATGACCTGTGACTACTCAGTGTTTAAATTCATTTAAATTTTAATATTTAAAAATATTTATTACTGTACTGGGCTGCAAAAAGACAAGTGAAACATATAGGGTTTTAATGGTATTCACTGGTGCATGACCTCTTCATCACACTGTACAACAAAAGCATATATTTGGAAAATGTTCTATACAGGTTCACGTAGAATGCAAAAAATTATTTATGGTGTATGGGAATAAACGTAGAGCACGTTCACCTTTCCCATTTTGGCCATATAAATGTGCATGCACAATACGATAAGAATTTAATGTAGGGGAGATCGTGCAATTTCATTAATATAATCAGTAATGGTCCTTGTCTCTGGTTTCTTATGCCAATTTGGAGGAGACAGGCATTCTGTAAGATAACTTCCCGGGGTGGAGAGCGAGCGTGCAAGCGCACGCTGAGGATAACATCACCAAGGTAACCAGTCTCGACCAGTCTGCCTCTGTGCTGCCCGCACTAGTACCTGGGGTGAATCTCTGCCACAATTCTTACCAGCAGGCGACAAAGTAAGTTATCGTTCAGTCTGTGTATATATGCAACATTGTTTAAATTCAGTGGGCGTAGAGGTTTTACGTGTGCAATTAATTTAACGCCAAGCCAGATCAAACGTCATATACATCAATGTGCATGAGGTGGAGAGAAATTCATGGGGTGGTCAGGTATATTTTCCACGTATCTGCTGCCTTTGTTGTCGCCCATATATATTGTTGACATGGGCTTAAATGCTTCGAAAGACATACGAGGGACTACATTTATGTTGAAATAATACCGTTAGATAATCGGGAGAGTCATATAACCTATACGTAGGCTATTATTGGGGCAATTCGTTATGCGGCAGGAAATCTGGCTTGGTGTTGGTCTAAAATGGAATTTTATTGACATCGCAGCTTTTCTGTAGTAAAAGCTATCGGAATAAGCATTGCTTGTAAGAAATCGGTGAAGTAGTGGCACCCGCCCATGCGGATCTTCAGTGTAAGACAAAGACCATGCTGCCGGTCTTTGTGCACAGAATGGAGCGTTCAGATCCCGAGGAGATGTTAGGCGACCTTTCACAGCGCACACTCGTCCCACGTTTAGCTTTTCCTACTAGCTCATTTACTTTATTTCCTCTGATGTTCACTTTGTTGATGTAATACTGCAGGAAATAAATAAATGCAGCTTTCTTGGTGACTGTTACGTGATATTTGGTATATAAATACGAATGCTTAAGTTATTCTGATCTAAACGAATATGGGAAATTGAATCCTAGGCGATATCCTTATAATAGATTGGAAATTTGATAATGCAGTATTAATCATATAATTCCCGCTATTATCGAAACTTATTACAGGCAGGATTATCATCCGTAGCATGCAAGTGGAATTTAAATATACGTTAGCAATGGTACATTAAAGCATTATGTGTCAAATTTATACTGTACATTGAAATAAATTTCATATTTATAAGCATTTTAAAAATCAGGGTCTGCCGTGTGAAGTACATTTTACTGATGCCTGGTATGGCATTCGCATATCACTTAAATTATGAAGGAAACAAAATAACTAATGGGAAACAGAAGAAGGCCACACTTCCGTATCAGACACTAAGGAGATCTGATTGAAAGCCGTAATTGAAAGATGCAGTCTTGGTCCTCATAGTGCATGGAGAACGCCCAGGATATGACCAGCAATCTGTCTCCGCAAAGTCGGCTGTCCAAGAGTTGTAGATGACTGCACCCGGTTTGTTTCGACATTGCCAATTTGAAGTGACTAATTGTACCCACACCTCGCTCCCAAAGCGCACAAGTGGGGGATGGTGATTGGATGCAGAGTGTTTTCAGATCTTTCTGCCAAAGGGATCAGCTAATTACTTAAGCGGCCGCAATAACAGGATATTATTGAACTAATGAGTCTAAAACGACTGAATTCCAACCCAAATTTTTCAGCATGACGACCTGAACACCTTATATGTCCATCCAACAGAAACTCACTGAAGTCTCATGCTGGTAAATTAAATGCAGCCTCGTTGTATGCTGGTGGGTCTATGGAAAAAAAATACATTTGCTTGCAGGAACACATTAATGTTTTTGCAGTACTAGGAAAGAATTTTGGATTCTATTTAAGGTCATATTGTAACTTGAACGTTGTTCATCCAAGCCTTGTTGATAGACCTTTGAACAAGTGATTTCCATTGAATTTCACCAGAAGATTGCCAGCTTTTTTTAAAGAGGTTAACAACTGTAAATCAATTTAGATTTAAAAAAAATACATTAAGGGACTCTTTTTAATATCATGGGATATAAGCAAAGTGAAACAGACAACTGCTGACCTCAGAAAGATTTGACAGTAATTTTGTCTGTCTCTTTGTGGCAATATTACCTAAATAAGAACCAGATCTAATTTATGTAGAACATTTTGAGTGTCATGTTGAAGGACGATGGTAAAATAAAATGGCTTTTTATTTATGCTGCTGTCAAGCAGGTAAACCAAGAAAAGTGGCTGTTTTTTGTCTTTCCTTAAGTGAGAGTGATGACTGATGTGTTAGTTATGCTGCATGACAAACTGAGAGAAAGTTTGCATTGGAGAAAAAAAAAAACAAATGCTTATCCTGTTCAGGATTACTAATAATAATCCTAAACAGATTTTACTGATGGAGAAAACGTAAAGATACCTTGTTCTTTTGGTTAATTTCTTTGGTTCAACAAATATTTAGATTATAATGACAAACATCTTTTCAAAGTCATGGTGAAAATAATTCACCATGTTTTTTGACTATGACGACACTGGTGAGTTGTTCTATCGTAAACATTTTTAGGCATAGGTCAAGGATTTTATTGAGTTTTGTGCCATGTTATTATAGAGAGTACCCTTAAAATCGACCAAATTATGATTATCAAGCAATCAAAAGTTGCTGTGTAACATTTTAGTTTCATCCAGAGAAGAACTGATTCTAAAAAATGCTTTGCTTGCAGTCAGTAATGAGGTACACATCTAAATTATCCACATCCCTGCAGTCTGTACTTTGTAGATCCACCTTCTGTTTTGATTAAAAAAGGAAATGGCTTCCCGTAGAGCTTTAACAGTTTGCGCGTATTCCTTGCGAATTATTGAGTGTTCCATTGGGATTTTATGCAGCTCCAGCATATTTCTTGTTTTTTCTTTGGTTCCTTAAGTACCAACCATAAGTGCTCAATTGGATTGAGGTCTGGAGAGCTCAACAGCCAGGATTTTGTGTTCGCTTAACCATTTATTTATGGTTCTTCAAGTTTCGCCACAGTGTCTCAGCTAATTTTGAATACATTTTTGCTTAAATCCGAATGAGGGCATCATTATCAGAACATACAGTGCAAATGTAAAACATACTAACATCTTAAATTTCACAGTGGACATGATTTTTTAAGTTTCTTTACAACGTTTCATGAAGTCATGGCACAAGTTTTAACACTGGACATTTAGAACATGCTCCTGCCTCATAATTCTCACTTGGGCAATGGATTAATAACTTTAAGTACCCATTTTTGCATTCTAATGAATCTACTTTGTCATAGAAGCTCAGAATTTCACCACATGTGGTGTGAATGGCCCAGTTTTTTTGTTTGTTTGTTGTTGTTTGTTGTTTTTAATGTTTTCATGCATCCAATGCAAGGCAAAGGCCTTTCGTTTATAGGCCTTCATTGACCCTTGTCACGATGGAGGATGTTAGCAGTTGACTTACTAGCTACTGTGCAAACAGCACATTGGTCTGCGGTATAGGATATTTCACTGCACTTTGCTCAGCTGTTTGCCTTATAGTTAATATTAATTTTATATTATCAGAAAAAAATGCATTTATTTCAGGTTTATCATGTTTCATAATTATATCTGAATCAGAATTATATGTGTAAGCCATTTGAATGGATATTACCTTAAAGAAATGTAGATATTTATATACTGTTCTGGTAAGATACAGACCTGTGGGGTTAGGCAAACTGGTCGACAGGAGGTCTGTTAATCAACTATTACAATTACTTAGTCTGTCCATCTATTTTCTATAATCACTGATCCAGTACAGCTTCGCAGGGAGCGTGGAGCCAGTTTCTAATGAACTATTACTTTAACTATACTTACTATACTTTGTTATTTCTTTACTATAGTATTCACTATACTCTTATTTAGAAACAAATATATAAATCTGTAGCATGGCTAAAAAAGTGTGTTACCGAGAGCCGGCGATATTGCAATGGTGGTGTAATTGTGTCATGGGAGTGTGTCTGAGTCTCAGTGTATGAAAGTAGGCATCCCCGTTTCCCCTTTATCAAAAGAAGTAAAACTCATACGTAACACTGATAAGTAAGTGTTTTATTAGAACATTAACTAAATGCACTAAAATAAATGTTTCTCCTGTATTATAACATTAATTAAAATGTCCAGAACGCTTTTCCAGCTGCAGGGAATGTTTAATTTATGGAACAATAAATATGCATTTTCTTCGCAAACATGCCTATATTTCTTTGCATCGGTGTAGAATAGATGCACGATTTGTGCTTTAGCATGTCATTTATTTTAAAGTTATTTTTAAAATAGTTACTAGTTAAAACTTGCAAAAGCATGTTCCTTAAAAATATTGTACGTTTATGTAAATGTATGCAAATATAGGGACCGCAGAACCGGTATTTAACATCTGTTTCTGTAGAGTTGACATCAGGTAGGCATAACACTAGCACCAAATCCGATTCCCTGCTCATATATATTTCACTACATCGACAGTAATAGAATTACGCTAACAGTGAGTTGTACACTGAATGTTACATTAATTACTAAGTTGTCCCATAAATACTGTATATTAAAGTATGCATATATTTTGTCTAGAAACATGTAAAATATAAGTAAAATATTGTGTTTCTTTCTAGTTTGTCTTCCTTTACCAAATTATACTTTTACTTTTCTTTGTAATCCTTTACCAAATTATATTTTACAAAATATGAAAAGAATAATATGCAGACATGAAGAAGGATGTAAGTGTTATATCTGTGTGTGCAGTGTTATGTTCAGATTTCATGCCTTTATTTCAATCTTTTAAGAAATTCTGTGATGACAAATACATTTTTCTACGCATCTTAAGGAGCAGAGCTGAAGTTGTTTTTCTTGCATCGCTTGTGGAGTTTTAAATCCATTAAAATTTAATGGTATGACTAACAGTAATCTATCAGAAATAAGGCCCTGAATTGGTTGCAAAAGCCAGCTTTCCATGCAGAACTGCTCTGTTTGTGGTCCAGTGGTGTAATGAGCCACTTAAGATGTTTGATATTGTGTAAAGACCTTCACCATGAAAGCTTGCTTTCAAAAGTAAGAAGGTATAGGCAGATCTATAATCATACAGCATTCCTTTTCACAAATATAAAGCTGGCCAACCTCAATATTTCTCACAAGCACTGATGCTTATGCATATTGCTGTGCCTCGAGACACTTACAGAAAGCACCATTACTTATAAAGTGTTTTATCTCTACATAGTAAGGCTGAGGATACAATTTTTACTGCTTGTTTTGCCATGTCATTGATTATCCCTAAGTCCTTCTGATGGTATTCTGAAGGCATGTCATAATCTTAATTTTGATGTTTTTCTTTTTTAAATGCTTAATAAAGGAAGTGTCTTTATTTTATAAAATAAAGTGCATTTTTTGTGGTGGTCCTATGGCATATCCATTATTCTGTTTGCATGATTAATCTAAAATCATTATTGGTGCAATAAGTTACATTAAAGATTTTTTATATCAATATTTAATTATCAACTATGAGAATAATACAGATTTTCGATAGAGATAGAAATCTTAGTAATCTCATGTTAAAATGTCTTATGATACCCTGGTGAACTGAAGCTACTGAGATCTATTTTTTTACATCCTTCTGTGGCTAACAGAGCCTTTAGAAATGACTCACTCAGTATGAGAACTGAGTCTGTAAGCTGTACATCTATCTTTGTATTTTAAGGATCATAATTATCCAGTAGAAATGGAAATACACAACCAGCAAATCAAATGCAGTTGTCATTTTATTTGGGTATGGCCAAAATGCTCATTGGATAATTTATGATTATGTTTCCATTAAGAAAAATAAAACAAAAATAGGTGAGTGAGAATGAGTAATACATATTTTTATATCTTATCTTTTTTTGTATACAAAAGAATAATACCAAGAGATATATGCAGCATTTTTTTATATAGGCAGCAAATATATAAGTGTTATATTGTACAACCAACACCAGAATATATGTATTTAAGTCACCCCACCCTATTACTATTTGCAAAACCTCCACATATAATTTACACCTTTTCCCAAGGATACACATTAATTTCCGTTGTGTGGTTTTGTCTCTATTTTTGAATGTCAGATAAACAAATATACATAAATTCATGTATATGTTGGGATGTGGGGTGTTTTCTTAGCCTTGTTGCTTTTTACCAGGACAGATAACAGTGCCTGATTATGATGTTTGCAATGATTTTAAAACCAAAGTTTTTTTTTCGTTTTGCTCAACATATGTTTGTAAATTATAAATACACTTTTTAAAAAAATGCTATAATCATTTTTTTGCGCATTAACTTTAAACCTCTTACTGGAAAATTGAACGTATAGCCTATGTCCATTTTATAACAATCGACAGATATTAGGAGAAAAGGAGCAAACTTCAAATTATCTTAGATAGATGTCAGATTGTTTCTTTGTATTTCGGAATATTCATTGGGAGAAAAAAATCTACTTACATATGCTATTCACAAGAAAATACCTGCAGTTAAATGAACGCATCAGTTCATAGGGCCTGGTACTTTCTGTTACATCCAGCCTGACTCTCCTGTCTCCTCCCTAACATGAGCCACGTCTGTTGCTTGTTACTCCTCATTACTCCTCATTACTCCTCATGTATTTATGTACCTGTTTGTCTCATCAGCCCCAGTCCGATCACTGACGTCGCTCCTCCTGTCTGCCCATGTCCTTCCCGCTACTCGCCTTCTCGTTTTGATTCCTTGCTCCCGTTCGGTTAATAAAACCCCTTCTGGCCTAACGCCTGCCTTGAAGTCCTTCGTCCCGCATGCCGTGATGTGTTCCTTTGTAAATATGAGTGAAATCTAATCCTGAGCCTCTGCCTTCATGTTACCATGTGTCCATGCAAATGAGGCGCAGTGGATCTTAATGTCGTGAGTGTTCTGTGGTGATTAATCTTGTAATGCTATGAAAGGAGGTGACCAAATCCCATGATGATACAGTACATGCTCAGTCGCGGCTTGGCAGGGCCTAGCGAAACGTCTCTCCACATTCTGATGTGTTTGTTGACTGAATCTTACAATGTGGTCTCTTTAACCTTTACAGCATGGTGATAAAATGGATGATGGAAGCACGCTTGTTAAATAAACAATACACCATTTAAAATAAATAAATCCAATAAAAATATAACAGTGGTATTGTATTCATTCAAATTTTGTTGCGAACTACAAATAACAGAATTATGCAGAAGAACCACACTTTGCCTGCAAATATAATATGCCATAACACTGTTCAGTCTCAAATATAATGTAGGTCTAATATAAATTCAGTAAGTCTTTCTTTAAAGTAATTAAGTTCTGATGTCCCATATCCTTTGGCCCCAGAATAGGTTAAAGAGGCAATGTTAATTTATGCATGAACAAAGAGGGCTGTAGATCTCTGCTATTAGGTTACCATAGTGTTCACTAATACATGTTTTATAGAACCTGCTGTCTGGCCTATGTAGGCGAACCCATGGGAACACTTATTCACGAATCGCAAGTGTTTCTGTAATAATCCGTTTAATTGTACATTTTTCCTGCCTGTCAGTGATCTAAAATTGCATTTGTATGAAAAATGAAATTGTGGTCAGTTGTGCTAATTGTTCTGTGGACATTGTGAGAGTTGTGATTAGACCAGCAATTCAGATGGTTGAGACCTTCCTTAAACACTAGGCATGGATGGTGCTTAAATGCTAATAAGATATATTGCAGCTTAGGGTATGTTTCAGTTATGAGTCAGTGCATTTTTGTTAATTCACAACCCACTAATGAGCAAGTAGCAAAGCATTTTTCCTGGTATGTGTTCCTCTTCTTGCATTATAGGTATTTTCACTGGTTTTACTTCCTAAATACTTTTCCTTCCTAAAGTTAGCCTTCCAGCCTAGAGGAGCTAAAGTTTATAATCTGTGTTATTATTGTTATCTATGAATATCATCTGTATGCCTCCCCCCCCCAAAGTTCCTCCTGTCCACCTCAGTCTGAGTTTTTTTTTTTGTTATTGGAAAGGAAATCAAAGGCTGCCATCAGGAGCTCCCTTAAGCTGTCAAACCAGCCGCACACAACATACTGCCTCTCGTGCTGCTTTTCCACACAGACCTGACAGGCAGATATGGTGAAGCTGGGGAGCAATCTGGCTGAGAAGCTGGAGAAGGAGCCATGTGTGGAAGACGGCTTTGATAACATCCCACTGATGACGCCCCTGGATGTGACTCAGCTTCAGCAGCCATTTCCCGACAAGGTAGCGGGACCTCCATTATGAACTAGTGTCTTTCCTCACTTCCCACAAACTGAGCACGGTGGACAATGAGGCTTGTGGGAGTTTAATTTACGCAAAAATGTTCTGAGGGCAGAATTAAAAATGATTGGTTCAGAGAGATGACCAATCAGATTGTAGAGGAGGTGGGTCCAAGCAACTGGAGGAGACAAAACCAAGACATATGATTGGTTTGTCCCACCTCTTCTAGTTGCTTAGTCCCACCTCCTCTGCAATCCGATTGGTTATCTCTCTGAAGCAATCATTTTTCCTTCTGCCCTCAGAACATTTTTGTGTAAGAAAAACTCCCATGAGCGACAATGAGCCATATAAGTAAAATACTCTCCATTTCATTGTATTTTTACATTTCGCCTGTATGAAAACTTTCAACTGTCTATATGAGCCGAAACTTTTTGAAGGACCGTCATATGTGCATTTTTTCACGTATTACCCCTCTTAAAAATAGTAGTGACTCTACTCTTCCTCAGGTCATCGTGAAAACAACAACCGAGTACCAGCTGCAACAAAAGAAGAAAAAAAAGTTGCATGTTCCCAGCATCAAGAAACTGAATATAAACCTTTACAGCGAGGTGTCCGAGAAAGTCAAGGTGAACAGTGTAACTCTAACTTCTGGTAGCTAGAAGTTATTTTCTGTGATACATACTGTAGCTAGCTGTCTGTTTACATACAGTGTGTACCTGTTCCCCACTCTCAGCTCACCGGGCTTGTCCTCATCACCATGGCGTTCCTTGCTTGTCTGCTCCTCTTGGTGATGTACAAGGCTTTGTGGTATGACCAACTCAGCTGCCCAGAAGGATTTGTTTTCAAGGTAAGCCACCTCAAGAACACGGCAGGCTTTACGTGACAGTGTGAAATGGCATAAACTCTGAAAAAAAACACTCTTTCATTCTAAACCATGCACCATGAATACTTTTGGAATTTTTGAGTGACTCCAGCTAGATCTCCCTTAAAATTTACATTAATGTGAAGTATTTGTGCTTTAAGCTGGTGGTTATTACTTACACTCAGCTGAGAACCTTCAATGCTATCATAACATTTTTAAGGTTGAAAGAGCAATAGGTAAAATGAATACTGTTTCACTTTCTAGTAGGCAAGTTTATTTAGAGTTTATTTATACAGGACAAATCAGACGCAAGGCAATTCAATGTTCTTTGAAAGGCAAAGGATACATTTAAATGAAAATCACATTAAAAGAAAAAAAATGTAATAGTAAACTAGTAGCAAATAGGTGCCTGCCTAGCAAGAAAATATTTGAGTTCCAGGGGTTGAAGTACTATCTAGTGTTCAGTCCCTACAGCTCATTTTCCCAGTACACTGTAAGAAAAAAGTATCAATTTGTACTTTTGAGGACACCATTACTTGTAACTGGGCTGTATGCTTAAGGGTCTGCCAATTGTACCCTAGCTGTAGGTAAAGGTACCTTTTAAGGTACAAGAATAGCCTCTGAGGAACATTTTTGTAATGTTGCCTATACCTTGGGGAACAAAAGTGTACCAGGGCTGCACCCTTTATTTGACAGTGTGGGGAAGCAAAGATCAAGTGGTAAAAGTAGAATCTTATAAGAAACAGTAGGGGGATGCTGAAATGTGGTCTGGTAGAGACATGAGGTCTCTTGGTATTATAATTCTGAATCAATTTGTATTTGGGTACCCTTAAACTGAGATCCCAGCCATATCTGGCAGCCAGTTATGGGAAGGTAAGGATCAGGATGTTGTCTTGTTAATAGCTGCCCAAAAAGGAAATTACCGTGGTTGCATGGGAGACGATTAGGGTTTGGACCACAAGCTTAGTAGGGATAGATACTAAGAATGGAATGAGAGAGGTTTTCATGCAATCCAGCTGTGTACAACTGACAAGAACAGTCTGTCATTATCTACCTAGATAGCAGTAGTTATGGGAATAAGAATCAACAGGAGAGTCCAAACAGAAACCACATTTGTAGGGCTGCCAAGTCCATTTTTCTCAGGGTGGTCAAGTCTTACTGAAAGTAGCACACAATTATATCTTAAATTATATCTTAAATCAGCGTGCTGCATCTTATTCACCACACCATGTTTCACTGTTGTGTTGTTATTGTAGAGTAGCATCTCCCATTGCTGCACAATTTGTTGTTGTAGTTGTGCTGTACAAAAATTAATGATCATGCTTTTGGGTTGATGCCCTTTGTCTGTTATTTGATGTGCATATTATTATGTATTAATGGCTTTCAAGAAAAGCATCTGCCAGATAATTAAACGTAAATGTAAAGTGAAAAAGAATACAATTAGTATCTGAGAATATGGCTGCTGTCTGAATAGGAAATCAAACAGGTTATGATCAAATATCTTTCTTAAAAATTGTAAATGATGTTTGTTTGTTTAAACATTACTCTGAACCCTCAGTGATTTAGGATCAGAGACTGATAATGTGTTAGGATGTACAAAAATAAAAAAAATACTGCTCTAAGCTCCATTTTTAATTTAACTGGTAAAAAAAATCAGCAGGCCAATTATAATCTCATTTTATATCGTCATCCTGACTGAATTGTTTCTCATAAATTTAATGAAGTACATAAAAGGAAGGTAGTCTCATCTTTGAGTTTGTGTGATCTACTTTTCATCTGGAACAGAAAAACTACAGATCGGACTGCATTTTTTTACCCATGGGTAGGCAAAACGTTGTTTGTGGAACCCCCTCCCAATGGAATTCCAGAAATCAATGCATTTCTGTCACGCTAAGGGGCCCACAGCAGCCACAGACCCCCAGGCCGAGACTGCCTAAATTACCCGTGTCTAGGTCCAGCAAAGCCTCTCACTCATAGCTGATTCCATTTCAAATAGTTGTTCTAACCCTATTGATTTTTGGTAGAAACAAAACCACCGCATTTATAGTTTGTTTTCTATGTAAACGAGATGATGCCTTTTCAGAGGTGGAAAGTTCATATTCAGAAAGTATAAATCCAGGGCAAGATTTTGTTTCAACCAACTAGATGAGTATAAAGAGTTAGAGTACTCAGCTGGTTGGTTGAAACAAGACCTTGGTCTGGATGTTCACTTCCTGTCTGTGCCTTTTGTGTTTAGCTGTCCTAATAAAGCAGATCAGGGTGTAATGTGACTTCTTTGTGGGTGTAGCAGATCTCTTACTCTTTGCCTAATAAAGCAGATCAGGGTGTAATGTGACTTCCTTATGGGTGTAGCAGATCTCTTACTCTTTGCCTAATAAAGCAGATCAGGGTGTAATGTGACTTCCTTATGGGTGTAGCAGATCTCTTACTCTTTGCCTTCAACACAGCGCAGTTAAAGCCAAAGTGCTGATTGGTCGTTTTTGGGCTCAACTAGTGTTGATCGTATAGATGTGAAATAAGTACGAAATACCATTCATTGTTTTGTTGTTGGTATGTCTGTATGAAACACTTTCCATAAAATAACATTTTTAAGCCGTGGTCTTCAATATACAGCAGTGTCTCCCAAACCAGTTCTCGGGGACCCACAGAAATACACGTTTTTGCTACAGGGAGCTGGGAGGGAGCAAAAACCTGCATATCTGTGGGTTCCTAAGGACCGGGTTGGGAAACACTGATTCATAGAGCAAGTCATAGATATGTTTGTACCCTTATTTGTGTTTCCTATAAATGAGTGAATTGATTTCAACCCCAAATGTGTACATTAGCTTCACATGAAATCTGCATACCATTTTCTCATCCAGATTTTTTAGAATATGGTTTAATGGTCTAAATTTGAGAAAAGAGGTCATGGCAGAATTTCTTACTGCATATATTAAACTGCTGAATAGGATATGTGGTTTCAGAAAATGGATGGATGGATGGATGGATGGATATTAGTTTATCATTTTTAAAGTGTAGTGCTTCCCATCTGCCAATGTTTGAGATAGAATGGTAACTGAGTAACTGCAGTCAATTTGAAATATTTAGATCATTTAACCAGAATAGCTTCTCTTCCAGGCGGTATGCAGGCCTATTGAGCTAGTATGATATTTTCTCAAGAATGAAACAAGGCTTTCTTCTGGTAGAACTATGCGCCTTGTGAAATCAGCGTGCCTTTAATTAGACTAGCTGTGACTAAACTGCCGTTAAAATCCTTCAGTGCTCTTGCTGCTGTCTTTGAAGTCGGGAGTACAGTGGCTGTTAGCATATTCAGCAGTAATTGTTAGTAACATGAAAAAGAAATGCGCCACTCGTAATATTAAGTGTCGGCATCCCTGATACAGTTTCCTGTTTAAAGTAGCTGCGTCTTTTCCTCTGGGGATAAACAGCATTATCAAGCTAACTGTAAATTAGGCTTCAGATAGTCTGACACATTGAGAGCGGGACAGGCATCATAGTTATCTGACAGAACCATGTCGCCTGTTCATGTTCAATATTTTAATTCGTAGACGAAACAAGGCAGTTTCATCCTTTACTTTGTCATCTCCATGGATAGGTGAAGGTTCCAGATGTGAAGTTTAACTTAAACTGAAAACAATACATGAGTGGAAAGCTTTTAAACCACATTTACTCCATGTATAATACAAGGACCTGTACGCTGCATCCCTAAGGTTGTCTTTAACACTGCATCCCTAAGGTTGTCTTTAACACTGCACCCCTAAGGTTGTCTTTTACACTGCATCCCTAAGGTTGTCTTTAACACTGCACCCCTAAGGTTGTCTTTTACACTGCATCCCTAAGGTTGTGTTTTACACTGCATCCCTAAGATTGTCTTTCAACAATTACTTTAAATCATTTCAACACGATGGCAGGTGGCATTATTCTACTGGGGATTCCAGGCCAAAGAAATGTACCAAACAAATGACTCCCAACAATGAAACACACAAAATATAGAAAAATCGAAATATTGGAACCCACCTTTATTAAAACATGGGATTTGGGATTTACAAAGAGGTTATTAAATCTGACATATTCTGTCTTGCAAGATACAACAGATATGGTGTTATGCACTATGCTCCGATAGAAATTCAATAAGATACACGGAAGAGACAATTACTGGATGCTTGTTGCTGTTTTGCACAGGGTATGTAGCCAGCTTGCTTTCACATTTTGCTTCTTTGCTGAAGCCCACAATAATGTACATATAAGCTTCGTAAAATAATATTAAACTAGCCAAATATTATCAACTCCAGCAAGTTCTAGCAAGTAAAATGAGAGGTATGTTTTCAGCAGTAACAATTAACTGTTAGATGATAAAAGCATATGTTTAATATTTTTTTAATTATTTAGATTTTTGTAGAGTGCCTTTTGGGTTTCATTGTAAGGCTAAAAGTTATCGTCACCGAATGATATAAAATTAAACAAATCTTGATAGCTGGATGATCCAATGATGATCCAAAGCTCTATTCAAGCAAGCCACTAGATGATGAACATCTGAAACGCATATACGACACACGCCTGCATGCACAAATATGGATAAATATTCACAATTTACCCATTCGTTGACAGATTATGAACTCAACCAGATCCATATAATATTGTGCACAATGTTGAAAATGAACATGATGCAAATGTCAAGAACAGGTGCATAAAAATCAATTTAAAGTAATTTTTTTTCTTTGTTTAAATGGTGGTCAGACTACCTGTTTCTTATTTATTTCCCCTTAGACTACATATGAGCACATTCAAAGTAAACAACACACATTATATAACTAGCATAATCCTGCTTGCCTGTTTCTTGCAGTGCATTTTTCTGTGTATGTTATATACTAGTTCACTTCTATTCAGTAGCAGTCAAGAGCAGACAAGTTCGAAGGTCTCTTTGTGAATTGCATTGTGTCCTATATGCACCCTCCCCCCCCCAAAAAAAAAAAAAACCTTTTCCCTCCCCAGCACAAGCATTGTACCCCCGCAGCCCTTGAGATGTACTACTCCGAACAGGAGACGGCCCCGCGAGGAGGTCTCTACACAGCCATCAGCCACTTGAACCAAGCCAAGAAGACCATCCCTGAGATGCCGTCACCATGGCTACCCGTCATCAACGCTCTGAAGGAGGCAGAGAAAGCGAAAGAGGAGTCCAGCCATTCCCAGCAATAGGCTGTTTGTGAGCTGCCTGGAGAGCAGTATAATTTCAGCGAAACTCACATGGGAGACCATCAGAATCTACTGTAGTGTTAACATTTTTCGAGTAAGAAAGAGCAACACACACACTAAATAACCAAGCTAGTTTAGAACGTGCCTGACTGAAGCTTCTACCCACATTTAGAAATAATATGTATACAGCTCTTTTGTGAATTTTACTGGAAGTACGCTTGTGGCGTGGTGTGTGTATGTGTGTATGAGGGACATGTGAACCTTTGGGAGATAATGACAAAAGTTCAATTTCCAGCGATTAAGATTTTAGTGCTAATTTTCATCATGGATTGGTAGGGAAAAATAGACATTTTCAAGACTTCAAATGTTACTCATTTTGCCTTAATCTTACTCATGTTTGACATGCTTCATGCTATTTAGGCTAGGTTTACACTGCCAGTTTTAATGTGGCTCAGTTGCGATTTTTTTGGCATAACCTATACAGATCGGATTTTCCCCCCCGAGTGTAAACAGCAAAAAAACACATGGGGTTCAATCTTTTGAATTCCCATTTAGACCACATGCATATGTGGGACCTGTGTGAAAATCCTCAGACTGGGGTTTTATGCTTTCAAGTGATTTTTCCTGTCATTCTCTGTGCTGCACATGTTTACATAAACTTCAAGAGCAAATGAGAAACGTATACTTATGTGGTGACATCACCATCACAAGTACAAGGAGCACATATTCTAGAGCGTCCAAAATAATGACGATGGACTTAATTGCAAAATATCTTTTTGGCATATAAAAGTCAATGTTTTTATTTTTCAAAAGTAAATATCAGAGGAAGCAGCCATAATTCTTGCAATGAGTAATATAGATTTTGACTGAGCTGTTGCTGAGAAATGTGAATTTTCATTTGATTTACTGCACATTTCAGGATTCAGGTGGGAGATGGAATCTCAAATGATTCAGTTCACCATACTGGCAATCCTGGTTACCTGGAAAAGTTAGTTAAATGCTTTCTAAGTATTAACAATACTGAAACCTGTAGTTTGTACAATGTGACATCACATTTAGATTGTTTACTCGGTTTTTTCCTAATAAAGGAACCAGATGTGCATTAACGTGAAAATTACAATGAAAGATCACACTGAATCTTTTTCTACCTGCAAAAAAATGCATAAAGTCAGATTGATCAATGAACAATTGTGATGATGGTTTAATCAAAGATTAAATTGGAAAAGTATGATGAATAGAGGTCATTAGTAAATATTGAACATGTAAGGAGTGAAGTCTTCATAGGAAACACAACATTTTTCCAAGTTAAAAATAAATCCATGTACATCCACAAAAAGCTGCAATATCTTACTGATCTATGTAACATTATTAGTAATTAAATTATTAGTTCATTATACGCTAGTTAAGTTCTTTCTCACAGTTAAATATGCCCACTGTGTTCAAGTCACCACTGTATTCTTTATAGTGAATGTCTGCTTAAGAATTAGCTAAATAGTCTGTACAACACTGTCCGTTATTTTATTAATCAATTAAATGTTTTCTACCTATACCTAATTATGAGTGTGGCAGTGGCTAAGCTTGATTAAAACAGACTACTTGAAATTTGTTATCCTATAAGGTATTTGGTATGTGCATTTTTCACACAAAAAAATGTAAGCATTTGGTTTGCGCTAAAGATGCCGTAGTTTAAAGTAATTTCATGACAATCATTTGAACTTACTTTTAAAAGCTTCTTTTTTTTTCCTGTTATATATCTTGCTGTTTGTTTGGCCAGAATGAAACAGTGGCTAGAATGGAATCTTTTGTGTTCACCTGTGGTGCGTACAGTATATAGCAGATCTAAAGTACTGAGAGCATTATGTAGATATTACAAATTTTACTTTTATTTTCATGCTGGCTGAACAGAAGCCAAGTTTTTGCGAAATGCAATGGTTCTAGGAAAAGATGTGAAACTTGTCAACATTCATATTGTTAAACTCCAAATGATTGCAGATAACTATAGATAAACTAGGCCCTTTAGTGGAATGGTTCTGGTTTGTGGACACCTTCTTGTGCTTTGGTTTTAGATAACCATGGTATAGAGATATGATGTTTGTGTTTGTCCATGTTTCAGGATTAGGAGGGTAACTTAAGAGAAACTGTAACACTTTAAGCTGTTACTACATGGTGTGTTTCATTTACATTTTTTTACTGATTCATGCACAATGCTGTTTTCCATAAAACATTGTATTATCAGGAATAGGAAGCTTTACATTCCTAGAGGAGAAATGCACAAACGCATTTTTATACTCTGCGATTTCTTGTTGGACTGAAATGCTTTTGGAAATGCAGGACATTTGTGTGAGAAATTAAATGGACTGACTTTCATGGGTGTCTAGCTAACCATTCTAATGTGCGAAATTGAATCTGACTGTTGGTCATTTGTTTCCCATACCCAAGGGAGATAATACTAGCCACTTCTGAAAATTAATAGTGAAAAGGACTAGGAATAATTTCCTAATTTTAACTGAAAGTATTACGTGGATTATTATGGCATTTACCTTTTCAAAGCAAAATATCGTTTTATTACCTGGTTTCTTGTACTGCTGTGGAACTCTAAGCATAATCTAAGTTTTTTGCTTTGCTTTGAAATAAATAATTTGCTGATATGGAGAAATTTGTTTTCAAACAATTAATTAGAAATGAATGTTTAGAGTGCTTTCTAAACTGTCCATTGAATTTCATCAAATGAAAACAGGTGCATGACCTAAGAAAATGTCCAAACCTTTCTCAGTCACAAACATGCTTTAGCTTGTATATTGTTACTTTGTAATTCTAGTACAGAAAATCCCCCCATGCCAAAAGTTGGTAATATCATATATTTTCCTGATCTGTACTATGACTGGAATTTGTTTTGTTTTCTATTAATAATTAATAATAATACAAGTAATAAAATAATAGTATTTTAAGCTATCAGTTTATGACATGAGGAGTTGCCAGATTTCCAACACCACCGAGAGTATCAGCAACGCCTAAAACAATGTAACAGTTTTCATGGTGTAGGAATGCATATGAAGCGAAGGATTCACTTGTTTTTACGAGGAGACTCTCTGTCTTTGTACTTATTATCATAAACAATTATAGTAATCTTGTTTTAAATAGTAAAATAGCAGAAGACAATCATTTAAAATATATTGCAGATATTACAACTGCATTATTTTGAAATACTGACAATTAACAGAGCTCATCTGGTCTCCAAAGTTTTTTTCAATACGTCAAGTGCTCTGATGACGTCAGAGGAAGATTTGTCTTCTAGCAGAAAATGGTCAGCTCTTTATTGACTGTTTTAGAAATTGTAATTGAATATTTGTACTGTTATGCAGTTTTCAGATGATTACGTCACTTTCTTTGCTAAATACAACTCAAGCATTCGGATGCATTTTCTGTTTCAGTTGAAATGTGGCATACTGTATTGATTTTTTTTGGTGACATAAGCTGATAAAATGCATTCTTGATAATTGATTCAGATTATTGATTTAGTAATGCATGATATAAGAGGAGAACATATGATACACATTTTTGTATTTATTTCCAGTGTATGATTGGTTGTAGTCTATGGTATAATTCTCATTTTCTTCCATATTTGATTGTCCTCAGCATACACAATACTTTGAGGTTGACTTCATGGGTCATAACTCCATGTGTTCCATTTAGCCAAAAGTAATTATCTGTGTTAAGCTAGCGTTAGACAATTTTGGCTGTAGACTGGATCTCAGCTTTTTGGAAGTTAAGCTGTAAATGATGGAAGGGAAATTTCCCTTTGTGATATATTTCCTGAAACTGTAATTTGTGTACCTGTGAGTTTGTGCTTGTGGCTCATAGTTGCAACATTTGTTACATACACAGTAAATGAACAATGTCTGTTTGTTTGTTTGTTTGTTCATTCGTTCGTTTATTCATTCAATCAATCATTTATTTATTTGTTTGTTTGTTTGTTTTGTTTGTTTTTTTGATGGCAGAGTTTACATGTCAAAGATTAACATGAAGTATAGGACTGAGGTGTTAGACATTGCCATTAGAGTAGACTTGTAACTCAGATTATGAAGCCTGATCCCCGATTCATTTGATCATTGCATTTTTTTTAGCTAGGGTCAAAATGCTAAGGGTGACTTATGGCAAAGAATAATTTCTTTAACCTTTTAATACTAGACAGCTTGATGCACACTACTTAGGATGTTAGCAGCAGCTGATCTGTCGATTGATGGCGTTACGTTCCTTTTTTGTGTTTTGTGTCATGTGGAGCACTTTGTAGGCTGCTCCCAGCAGATGTGATCTTATTGCAACCCCTCGTACCCTTTTTTCGTGTCAAGTACTGAAGTGCCAAAGTTAACGTTGTGACTATGTGCTTTGAATTTGTCAAAAATAAAGAAAAGATCAATGTCCACCTTTTGCATTAATAATGACATCTTTGTTTTTTATTGCATCATTACATAAGTGGAATCAAAACATTTATGTAATTATATAGTATCAGGTACATTTGGTTGAGTGACAGATTACCCAAAAGTTAAAATATAACAGAAGTGATCATGACAATAATTTTTTATAATAATGAAATTGTAGTCCCTATCAAAGAGTATGTTTCTCAGTCAAGTCATCAGGGACCCCCCCAGACAGAGCATGGAGGGAGCAAAAACGTGGAGTGTTTGGGGTCCCTGAGGAATGGGTTGAAAAACACTGTTCTAATGCATAAAATAGTGCAGCGGGCTATGGTTAAATTGGGGGAAGCATGTGTAGGATGTTTAGGTGAAAGGTTACAGTCTGAAGTAGCAGGGGGGCCATTCATGTTTTTGTCCTCCAGAAATATGCATCGGTAAACATGTTTTAAACCTGTGAAGATCCAGCCTGTGAAGATTCATTCAAACTGTGGTGCAAACAATGACGGTCTTGATGAAATTGGCTAGCTAAACTCACGCCGCAGATGTAAACTGGAATCTTAGGCAAAGATGGACGGGAGTAACACAGATGCAGTGTCTGCGCTGTCCCATGCTCATTTTCTCAGTACTGCGTCTGCTGCTGCGAAGCTGTCTGCATCTCATTTTCACCCTCCGTCTACATGCCGCCGCACTCGGCTCTCAGACGTGTGACTGCGCCTCGCCGTGCCCGCTAATTAAATCAACATTGCCATTTATTTACTTTGTTCTCCGCGAGTTGCTGAGTGACAGACTTTAGAAGCAGTTGGCCTTCGGCGTGGAACTAAATAAAGTGATAAAAAGTATTTATGAGTTCCTTTATGGACCACATGGCTGGTCAGTGCACTCTGTGCCGTGCCAGAAATGCTTATATTTAAGTATGGGAAAGATTACATAAAAATCATCTGAAAGCAGTAACACAGTTGATACTCTTGGAAAGCATTTGAAACACATTCCTGCTTCCTGCTTTTTTTTTTTTTACAAGATCAGCTTTTAATAGTACAATAGCAAGATGGCATTTAATAAAATCCGAGCCTGTGGTGTTATCATCCACCTTCCCAAGGAGGAAGCTGGGATAACGATAAAAAAAAAAGATTTAATTAAGCACCACCTTAATCAAATACTTTTTTATCTCCTGTGGCAGTTCATTTCTCAAAAGCGGAGCTTCAGAGTTTAACCAATATCTGCATACTGATTTATGTGGCTGGGTCGACTTCAGGGACAAAGCGGCCATTACAATACTCACTGACAGAAGACCCTAATGAGCCTCGGGGCTACTGTCCCGGATGAAAGGCCGCTACTGGAATTGTGCCGCCGTTATTCACGGCTTAAGCCGGGACTTTAAAATTTTATTTCACTTTCCCTCTTTAATGTAATACAATAGCAAACACTGAATAGCTACGGTCTGCCGGATAAGTCTTTGGAAGGTGGATGGGAGGATGGAATATCTTAGGTTGCGGAAGCAGTTTGAAAAAGTGCCGATAACAAGTAGAGGAGCTCTTCTGCACTTCTGAGGCGAAGAAGAACTGAAATGATACCTTCAAAGAACATTGGAACCTTCAAAGAACATTGGAAGGAAGGTGGTGGGGGAAGCAAAGTAACTTACACATCTGTGAAAACCAAGAACCCGTGGAACCGTTCCTGTACCTGTGGCATTTTCCTGTGGTGCATACAGACCACTTTGGTGAAAGAGGAGCTTTGTGTGACTGCAGAATAGTGCTTCATCCTGCATATTTAAACAGTATGGAAATAATAAAGTAGGACAGTCGTCTGTGTGAACGTATCAGAACACACCATAGAATGTCCTACTTTACTGTACCCTGTGTGCCCGTGTGAGTCTTAGCACTCATTTCAGTAGGAGGAATGCATGTTAATTTTCCTCCATACCTTTGAACCACGTATCTGTACGGTGTCTTCAGATGTCAGTATCTGTCTCTCTCTGAATCATCACTGGACTATTCCACCTACACTAAATTATGTGCATTTCATATTTATAATGAATGTTCCTCCTTATTTGGACCAGCAGTACTGTACTATATACTTTCTTATTATTTGTTTGCCTGATATGTTTTTTATTTATTTATTTATTTATTTATTTTGCTATACAAGAATAGCAAAAATTACCTTATAAACACAGCTGCAGAAAATACATCAACACTATATCACTCCTATCCAGTTAACACAAACATTCCAATGAGTTGACCTGTTATGTGAATATGTGAACATTTGAGTTTAAACAGCTTAAACGACAACAATTCTGCCGATTCTTTTTTACTATTCAGTTAACTGGGATGATCTCGATGACAATAATTAAATTGAGAATTTTGAGTTGCGGCATCAAAGAAAAGGTGCAGAGCTCTCTGCCTTGGTCTTACCCAGTGTCCTGTGGTTTCCGTCCAGCACGTGTCCCTGACTGCCTTCAGAGAGGCGGGAAGACTGGCCTCCCTGTCTGGGGTCTCTGCCGGCAGCCAGACACGGAAATGGAGTAGCTGAGCACTGGTGTGACCCTGTGGGCCTCTATTATATGTGAGCTCAGTAGGTCTCCTTGGGACTGGCGCCACTAGTGAATGTCATACATTTCCCCTATTCAGAGCATCGCTATTCATTCATTCATTCATTCATTCATTCATTACACGGTTATGCTTTGATGGTGGGGAAAGTGGACACACCTGTATGTGCTGATGTTATGTACGCTGAAATCCCTCACCTGCCCTGCTTTCTTGTGGTCTTCATTTACCAGTTGTTTTGCCTTAAATTCCTATAAAATCCCCTTAAAATAACAGAGACAAAGAACAGAGAATGATAATTTGCGGGGTTGCTTGGTAACATGCTGCCACAAAGTTTAATAATAAACCCTTTAATTAAAGTCTTTTTGTGGCTCTGCACAGCCTCCCTTGTTCAGTCACCTGCTTTATATTATATCTGACTGAAAAGCATTAGCTAGTATTAACAAATGATTGGCATATAAGATGACTGCACAGCATATTTGTTATTTTTTCACAGTGCAATTATGCATTTAGGTGCTTTTGGACACTATAGGTGACTGTATGATTTTTAGAATTCATCATTAGCCATATTGTCCCCTCCTAATGGCATGTTTTGACCTTGTATATGTATGTATAAATATATACAAGCATGTTACCACTCCGATTCTTATATTTCTGGGCACTAACCCACGGTGTTTATTATAATACCACATAATCTCCCTTCATTAAATGGATTTTCTCTGCTTGCATGATCCGATCGTTGACTTCATGTCACAAAAAGTCCCAGATTGCCAAGACCCCGACTGATTTGGCTGACATTTATATTACAGTAGTTGTCATCATGGAACTAATTAGATGTAATAGATTCTCTGTCAGTTATTAAATATTGCGTTGCTCAGTTCTTAGTTAGAAGGCATATCATTAAAGAGCGATCACACTGGAAATTACAAGGAAAGTATAATAAGTCAATAAATGCAACAAGAGGCAGGCAAATAAAGTTGTGCTGAAATGAATTTCCTCTCCTGTTTTCTATGTTTATTATTTTTCTTTTGGATTTGCAAGAATTTGACCTTTAACCGTTTGAGAAGGGAACTTCATTAATTCAGTGTAGTTGCACAAAATCATAGTCATGCTCTTGGATAGGAACCCCTTACTTCAGGGAACAATAATTAAAATGATTTTGTAACCGCATTCTGGAAAGCAAAAGATTTAGCGTTGAAAATGAAGTTTAAAACTCCTTCAACACATTTCATAAACAAATCGAATGGCTGAGACAGTAGATTCTTTGCAACACTTTACGAGTGAATGAAACCAATCTGAAAATTATACTGCAACCGCAAATCCACAATAGAATTTAAACTCTACTCTCTGGACAGCGGACAGAATAATTAGGAAATCAAACTTTAACTCGCAACATATTCTGTTTCAATTTTAAAAAGGCCAAATTGCATAATGGGATGCAGAAATGACACTGACACTTAGGACCTTCAAACATAATCCAGATACACTTCAACCACACCCAAGTGCGGATGTCTCCACACACAAAGCGTGTGCAAACCTTTCTTTGTTTTGGTAAACAGCAGCTAAAGAACAAACCTGAGTAAATTCATAAACATTCCGGTACTAGCTGAAATATTTTTTACATAAAGCATATATTTAGAAATATAAACATCATACAACTGAAAACGAGTGATTTGGGAAACTGCCAAATGTTATATTTGTCTTAATGAAAAACTAAATCCTGGATAAAAAAAGGTATCATACTATAAATGAGTGTTTTGTAAGTAAATGATTGCTTCTGTCTAAACGTGTATCACCGTGGAGACTTCAAGAAAACTGCCAGATGACGCCAGCTGGGGTATTTGTCTCGCTGGGGGTTGGGGTAGGGGGGGGGGGGGGCATTGTGTGTGGAAAGAGCCCCAGGGGCCCTGTTAGTTCATTTGTGCTGTATATGGCAAAGGGCCCTGGGGGGGGGATGTGAATTCAACAAAAATTGTTTACGGATTTCATTATGGTTATTATACTCGTGCAATATGATTCAATGTAAAGGGAAACTGTTACACATCAGAATCTTTCCTAACAAATTATCTTTCATCATTTTTAAGCTTTGATTAAGTACTACTCTGTGTGTGTGTATGTGTGTGGATGTGTAACACATGGATTTGTTCCAAGATCCTGCTGATGGAAATGGGAAACAGTGGCAGACATGCATGCCACTCACTTCCTTTCCTTTACAAAGGATGGCTCCACGTCGTCTGCAGCTATCTGGGTCCACCAATATGAAATCCATATGGAGCGGCTGCAGCGCTGTAGGGCTAGCGGCCGAGGCAGCTTAGAAGAAAAACTGTGTTTTGGAACACTGCCATCTAGAGGGGGTACTGCAGAGTGCAGCATTCTGTATCTCAGAACACAATGCAAGTCGACACAACACAACATGCACTTCAGGCATTGTATATGTCTCTCCGCATTTTTTGTAATATTACACATTA